TTGTTTTTTCGGCCTTTTTGAGACAGGGTTTCCCTGTAGCCCCAGTTGGCCTGGAGCTCAATATGTAGACCAGGCTGGCCTTGAACTCACCTAGATCCATCCGCCTGCCTCTGCCTCCCGAGTGCCAGCATTTTTATATAGTTTTGAGTCAGAGTCCTGCTATGTAGCCCAGGCTGGCCTCAAACTAGAAAGCCTCCTGCCTCAGCCTCCTGAGTGTTTGGACTACTCCTGCACTACCATGCCTGGCTCCAAAATTCATACTATCTTAATTGTGGAGGCTTTATTGGACATTTTAAAGATTGGCAAGGCAAATTTCAAAAGCTCTGAGCTGTTCACAAACATTTACTCTTTCCCTAGACTTTAGAATCAACTTTTGAAGTTCTATGGGGCAAAAAAAATGAGGGTTTCAGTTTGAATTATACTCTATTTGGAAATTGTTTAGAAGAGAATCCACGTCTTTACAGTATGTTCAGCTTTCTAGTTCAGTAACTTGATATGCCTTTATATTTATTTAGGTGCTTTTATGTCTACCAGTAAAAGTGTCTTCTTTCCTTTTGTGGATTTTGCAGGTTTCCTACTAAATTCATTCCTAGGTATTGTGTAATATTGCTGTAAAGAAAGTTGGGTCTTCCGTGTCTATTTTCTTTTTATTTATATTTTACATGTATGAATGTTTTGCCTCCATGTATGTAAGTGTACCATATGTGTGTTGTGCCTATGGAAGCCAGAAGAGGGTGTTGGATACCCTGGAACTGGAGTTACAGCCAGCTGTTAGTCTACCCAATACGGGTGCTGGAAACCAAACCCAGGTCCTCTGCAAGGGCAGCCAGTGCTCTTAACTGCTGAGCCATCTCTCCAGCCCCTATTTTCTTTTTTTGATGCAAGAACTGGATGAGGTCTTGAATTCAGATCCTCCCGTCTCCAGACCGGGGTTACAGGCATGCAGCACCACACTTGGTGTCTGTTTTCCAATTGGTTGTTTCAGTTGTAGAGAAGTTATTTTGACTTTTACCACCTAACTTGTATTCTATTATCTGACAAAAGTCACTTGTTAGTCTTTCCTTTGATTCTTAAATGTCTTAAACAATCACATCATTTGCCATTTTTTGAAGATTTTATATTGTTCCTTGACTTACTTAGATCCCTTCCTTTGCTACCTTCCTCCCCATCCCCATCCCCATCTTTTAAAAAATTTTTGGTTACATCTATTTATATGGGGAAAGGGAGCACACAGGCCCCAGCATGCTTATCAGAGGTCAGAGGACAACTTGCAGGAGTTGATTCCTTCCACCATGTAGGTCATGGGGACTGAACTCAAGTCCTCAGGCTTGGTGGCAAACGCCTTTACCCTCTGAACCATCTTGCTGGCCCTCTTGATTTTTTTTTTTTTCTTTATCATATTGTACTGGCTAAGACCTTGATAGCCATGATGGTGGAGTTCAATTTATAACCTCTCTGGTTCTCTGTGCCCAGAGTATCCGTACAGAAACACTCATGAGTCTAGAAATGACAGTCAACACTGGATACCTCAGACAGAGCAATTCACAAACACCCAAAACAGTTTTAATGACCACCACTCTCTGTGAAACACCAATCACATTAACTTCAAGGGAACAGAGCTGTGACTGCCACTTGTCAGTCCCAGAGAAAACTGAATTGACCCATGTTGGTGTGCTAGCATGCCTGCATTCCCCCCCAGGACACAGGCCTGGTAAACAGGAGGGGAGTACACATCAGCTATCACCAGGGGTTGTGCTGGGAACTTTGAACATACAAATTTTTTAAATTTGTTTTGTTTTGTCTTTTTTCTTTTTTTTTGGTCTTTTTGAAACAGGGTCTCCCTGTAGCTCCAGCTGTCCTGGAACTCACTATGTAGAGCAGGCTGGCCTTGAACTCACAGAGATCTGCCTGCCTCTGCCTCTTGAGTGCTGGGATTAAAGGTGTGCACCACCATGCCTGGCCTTTTTTCTTTTTAAAAAATATTTTATTTATTATTTTTATTTTACGTTTATGAGTGTATTGCCTGCATGTATGTGAGTATACCCATATCATGCAATGCTGAGGATGTCAGAAGAGGGCATCAGATCCCCTGGAACTGGAGTTAAGGACCGTTCGTAGCTGCCATGTGGGTGCTGGGAATTGAACCCGGGTCCTCTGTAAGAACAGTCAGTGCTCTTAACCACTGAGCCATCTCTTCAGCCCCTATAGCCCCAGCTGGCCTGGAATTCAATATGCAGATCAGGCTGACTTCAAAGTCACAAAGATCTGCCTGCCTCTGCCTCCCAAGTGCTGGGATTAAAAGCATGTGCCACCATACCGGGTCAAATTTTTTTAATTTTTATTTTTCTATTTGTTTTTTGTTTTTGAGTTAGGGTTTCCCTGTAGTCCTAGCTGGCCTGGAACTCACTATGTAGACTAGGCTGGCCTCAATTTCACAGAGATCTGCCTGTTTCTACCTCCCAAGTGCTAGAATTAAAAACATGTGCCACCACACCTGGCTAATTTATTTATTTCTATTTTATGTGTATGAGTGTTTTGCCTACATGTATGTAAGTGTACCATGTGTGCACAATGCCCACCAGAGGCCGGAAGAGGATGTCAGATCCCCTGGACCTAGAGTTATAGATGGTTGTTAGCCATTATGTAGGTGCTGGGAAGCAAACCTGGATCCTTTGCAAGAGCAGCAAGTGCTCTTAATGGCTGAGCCATCTCTCCTGTCTCTGGACATATAAATGTTTAAATCTTTACAACAATCCTATAACTGAATGATAGTCTTCTGTTATCAAATGAGGATACTGACTCTAAGCATGCAAAGTGTGGAAGATTACACAGCTAACTATCACATATAAGTGGGGTCACTGAACCAGCTGTGGAGGAATATGCTTGTAAACACACAACTCAGGAAGCAGAGGCAGGAGGATTGTTGAGCATTCTAGGCCAGTCTGGGTTAGAGTGTGAAACCCTACCTCAAAAAATAAAAAGGAACTGTATGGTTACAGTGTCAGCTGCCGGCACCCACTTTTCTATTGAGCACTGAGCATTCTCTACCTAGACCACATCTCTGAATGTTGCTTTATTGATGTAGTGTGTGTGTGTGTGTGTGTGTGTGTGTGTGTGTGTGTG